GGTTCAATACTTCAATCTGAATGGGAATGCCAGCAGCCACATAGTACTCTAAGAGAAAACGAAGACACATCGATTTGTAGTCATTGAAACATTCAGCAGTTTGAATATCTTCTTTCATACCTGTAGAAAACCAATCACTGAAATTTGATTGAATATGGCACTTAATATTTGTTTCAATCCGTGGTAATTGATCGAAATCACCGGGAAAATCCATCACACCTAGAAATCTTACGCTACACGTAGCGTCTTAGATGACTTTCTTTTACTTACTTGGAGCCTTGATGCCGGGTAATACACACAAAATACTACAGATACCTTTTGATTGTTCTCGACACGACGCATCTTGAATTGGACATTTACTCGATGGAATGATATCGCGATTAGCATTCATGACAATAGTTTGTAGAGTTTCAACCGGTACACAAGACAGTTTGTCGTCCACATCTTTGATGGCCGACGCAACAATGGTCAAGTATTTGATATTATTCGGATCGTTGACAAGGTTTTGAACAACGTGATAGACGTTTTTAAATGCTACTAACTCGGGTTGAAAAGGAATCGGATTGGGACAATCAATATAATTGTCCGTAATTTTCACACCAATATAGTCACAGAAACGTGTGAATGGAAAATCCGAGAGAAGTTTGTCATCGTTTATTTGCAGCCAACCCCAGGCAGTTGCTCCACAAATCAGAGCTCCCCCATGTTCTAAATATGCACACTATAAAAATACAATGATATTCAACAGATTAATAATGAGAAAATAATTGCACTAACTAGGTCACTTATAAAGACATCATTCTTTGTGTCATGTCCATTCCATATGAGTATTTTATCATCTTGTGCCACATCATCCATCGAATCTGCATCGTTGATCGATACGAATTCAGCATCATATCCTCGAGCGAGCCATTTTCGACAATTTTCAACAAAATCTTGGTCTTCTGTTTCATCATTAAGAAAAATGTTCGTATAGCTGTTGTGCGCAAATACTAAACATCGACCTTGACCGAATCGAGTGGCCACAATGATCACATTGTTAAAGTCTTCACTGCACAGAACAGCACGTGTATTTTCTGTTATTGGAATGAGAGTTCCGGGTTGGCCAATATAACTAAGAGAATCCACGCCATCAAATAAAATTTGAGATACTTGGTCGAAATCATCGTCATCCATCCTCTTGCTGCTTTATCATCTAGTGAAAAATACGATGTGCACGTCCTGGTTGAGGTGTGACGATGTTATGATTTACTTATTTCTTCTTAATGAGATTCAAACTTGTAGAAGAAATGAGAAAGAGAACGCAAATAAATATATCAATAGATACCTGTATGCATTTTTTCGAACCTCTGATCGTTTTTTTCCTTTCTGTCTTCTTCATTTTCCCTCGTGGTACATCACGCAATGGATCGAAAAAAATACAGACCAAAAAGAAATAATCGATACAAACATTGACAAAATGCATGTTTATTCTCATGCAATGATGATTTATATCATGCATGCTCACCATCTGTTGGATTCGATAATATATTTGTATTCGTTTTTCAGAAACTAAATGGCAGTGAAGATAGAATAAGTTGGTTATTTTTTTTCTAGATAGATCATCTGTGAGTGAAGAAAGTTGATAAAATATTCGTAAATATTGGAATAGAGAAGAATATCTCAGTATTCGAATGATCTTATGTTTGGTAATGCCAAAAATAGATCTGATTGGATCTTTCTTGCTGAAAAGTTTGAATCTTGTAGGAAAAATCCAACGAGAAAGTACAGGTTTGGAACCCACAATATCTCAGCACCTTTTCGGCACCTGCAGCGCCTTCAGCACCTTTGGGTACTGCACGTGCTGAAGCTCTCATACATATTTGAAATTAGATTAGAAATTAAGGTGATAGCTATGAGTAGAAGTCATACTACTTCAATTCGATTTTTTCAACTAAGACAAGGCTATTTTTCGAAAATAATGATTTTTTATAAAACTTGACTAAAGGGTTTTGGGATCGAGGAACTTGAATCTGTAATCGGTTTTTCGAAATTTGAAGTTTAATTTTTTCCAAGAAAAAATCTTTTTACTAAAAAGTCATAGTTTTGCTAAAAAATTATTTTTTTGTAAAAACAATCGTTTTTTTATTAGAAAACTAAATTCCACCAAAAAAAGTCATTTTTTAGGTAAAAACCTGTTTTTTTACCAAAAAAATGCCTTTTTTACAAAAAAAAGAATATTTTAGCTAAAATATGACTTTTTTAGCAAAAAAATAGTTTTTTAACAAAGAAATAGTTTTTTAACAAAGAAATAATTTTTTTACAAAAAAATAACTTTTTAGCAAAAACAGGGTGTTTTTTTAGTAAAGAAATTTTCTTTTGAAAAAAATTATACCCAAAGTTTCGAAAAACCTATTACAGATTCGGATTCCTCGGTCCCAAAAACCTTTAGTTAAGCTCTATAAAAAATTGTTGTTTTTGAAAAATATCCTTGTCTTTGTTGAAAAAATTGAATTGAAATAGTACGACTCTCATTCATGGCTATCACTTTAACATCCAGTCTAATTCCAAATATGTATGATCGTGCCTCAGCACCTTCAACACCTGGTAGTAAAATTGGGTGCTGAGGTACCTCACTTACCTCCTTGGAAAAATCCATATATTGGTCTTCGACTATCTTAAGAACATTAAACATTGTTTAAATATGCTGTCTATATTGGGCACCAGACTAATGTTGCATTTTCAAATTCGAACCACTCGCTAATGAGCAAGGATAATTTTGCATATGTTCTGAAGACTGGTTTTTTGCATTTTGCGTATGGTGAAATCCAAATTGACTTTCTTGAGCCCATGTCTACATATTGAAACTTTTCATGCTCATGATAAAGTTGGCGATTATACGTATTGTTGTAATAAAAATAATCAAGATGTATGCTTTCTGTTACTATCTCCTTTATAATAATATATACAAATCCGAAACAGTCTTTTGTAACTTTTTAACTAGTACTCGTGATACAATTATTTGGCATTCATCGAGACTATGCCATTCAGCAACAACAGACTCTATTGCATCCATATCAATTACTATTAACAACACCAGTCAATGCTTGAAGAGTGCGGGTATGGATGAGGGTGTGGATGTGGATGTAAGTAATAGTCTTCAGATGGTTCACCCACCTCAACACTCCACACCCACACCCCGTCTCTCATCCGTGTCAGTTCTGTACACTTGTTTGATCGTTTTTCCTATTGCCTTTGTAGAATATAATATAAGAAGGTTAAAAACCATATTGGTTATGATTAACAAAATATATGATTCATTTTTTATATTAGTTGATGACTTTCAAGTTTTAATATGATTTGCATTCTCGATTATACTTGTGTGATTCTGCATTGTGTTCATGCACAAGAAATATGATCAGCAAAGAAACACATTGATGTTTACATTTCACCAATGCCATAGACAAGTTCTGAATTCAATTGACTATAGATTTTGTCTTGAGATTCTTTTGTTTTATAAAACAAAATAGAAAAAGAAACAGACAGCCTTTATGTCCGTATTATTGAATTTTACGCCATTGCTTGAACAGTTTTCCATGCCTGTCGCGTTGAAATCTTATTCCACCATTGCTTGACATGTGGTCGAGATTCGAACAGTTCATCTTCACCACATTTTAGAAGCAGTGAACCCAATGGCAAGTGGAATAAATCAGCAAGAGTAAACATCTAATTAATCAAAACAAATTTGTTTTTTATGATACTATTTACTGTAGAAATCTTCCGCTTACATTTCCGGCCAGATATGATTGCGTTGACAAAATTTGATCATAAACATCTAAATTTTTAGCCAAATCTCGCCGTAGTTCTGCTACTTTATTCATATCTGGCTCACCACCTCGCATCCTAGGCAACAAAATACGGATAAAAAGAATTAAAAAAGCAGATCTAATTATCCTACTTTTTGAATATTCGTTCGGTGACAATACCATTAGCATATGAATCAAAATAAGACAATTCAATTGATGCAGCTTGTTCAAAAAGTCCTTCGACTTTTATGTTGCCTTTTGGAATCAATTCGGTACCTTTGTCTTTGTATTTCATTTCTAAATACCGACTAATTGCACGAGATTCTAAATAAAAACAAAATTTCGATCAATATTATTCATTTGAATCTGTAAGTTTTCTCTTAGTATATCAACTAACCATAGATTGTAAAGCCATCGACATCATCAAGTGCTGGAATGGTACCAAATGGTTGTTTTTCCAAATAGGAACGACTCTATTCGATAAATATGCTTACAAATGAGACAATTATCATTTATTTTCTACCAGATTTTCACCGGCCTTTAGATTGATAACTTTCAATTGAAATTTGAGACCTTTTTCTATCAACGTAGCCAATACACGTTGAGTAGCAGGCGATTGTATCATGCCATATACAACGATCGTACCTCTTGTATCATACGATGACTTTAATCAATCGAACATTTCATATGTTAATTCGAAAATCAATCTTTTCTTCAATACTTACTTGTATATTGTTCGTTCTGTGAACTGGTTGCGATGAAGAAACACTTGATGAACAACCCATTGAGACATCGATAAAAAATTAAAGCACACGTATATATGCAGATGAATGTGTATTTAAGCATGGGTAACAACAATGGTGAAGAAAAATGCTCTGTCATCGTTGCATATTTGCATTTCAATGGTCGTAGGAAGCTTGATTATGGTCAATCGATAGGTGGAAAGAGAAACAGAAGAAAAAATACTGCATCGTCAGTGTTACGCCAGTGTTACAAAATGATGACAGCGAATAAAAAAATAATAGACGACTGCCGACAGAACCAACGTAGAGAAATGATGATGAAGTAACGTTTTTTTATTCAAATCTTATATGTTTTCCGATGAGTCAAAAAGAAATTTTATATGCTAAAATCCGAAAGACTATGTCAGATTTTTTAGATTAAGATCTCCTCAGTGAGAAATTCTTCATGAGGAAGAAAAAGTCAATAAAACTCTTTGTTACGTTCCATAAGTTTGTTCAAAAACAATTAATTATAAATCTATTATTTCACACCGTTGCATCTCACGATTCAAAATCTTGCAGTTACCAACGATTGACACCGATTTCTAACATTGCATTTTAAGCGAACGTGATGTCATTTCACAGAAGTTATTCAAACTTTCCTAGATAGTCGATTACTACATTGGCATGTCGGATAGATTGAATTACTCATTTCGTCTTTGTGCATGCAACTAGGAGGGAAACATATTTAAATGAGTTTGCTTAAGCCTTGAATCAAGGATGAGACACAACTATTAAAACAAGTCTCTCACAAAGAATAACTCTGTGAAGGATCGTGTTTTGTAAGCACATATTGGTTTTGACTTTTTGCGTCACATATAAAAAGTCAATTAAGAACTTAACGAATCTTCACAGTTCTTGATAATTTTCAAGCAAATCATAACTACGAAAAACAGTTTTCGATATACATAATCCTTTAACTACTGTCTCTTGTCATTTATATTGTCTCACTAAATAAGATATTTTTCATTAATCCAATTAACATTGCCGAAGTATTTTGAATGCATCGATCATAAATCTACGTTGTAACACCCTATATATATATATATATATATATATATTATCATTGGTAATGAAACATTTTCGAATTATCAAGAGCTCTTTCAATAATGAATGGTGAAAGACGCGCGTCTCGCATTGATGCTACAGCTACATTTGAATTTTCCTATTCTGACTTCAATTTGACTCCGTGTCTAGTGTCAAATTAAAAGTTGCATTTAAATGTATTGTCATTGAAAAAATAGAAAAACCTATTCCTGATGAGCATAGGTGGAGAGGGTGTAACTGATCAAGTATTAACACTTCATTTATAATCAATGAAACTATTGGTTAGGACGTTTTTACTGATCACTGTCTTACTAAAGTTTTGGGGTGTGGATTTTAGTCGTTATCTCACCCACACCCACACTCACACCTACACCCACCACATATTCATGAAGATGTAGTCAATTATCTTCTATCGAAAGCGTAACAATGATGCTACATCCACCTAATTCTCCAGATCTGGCTCCATGCGATTTTTGGTTGTTTACTTTAATCAAACAAAATCTAGGCGATCAAGATGATCCCGAATCGTTGCATGAAGCTGTGATCAAATTCATGTAGTCGT